GCATTGCTAAATCCATGATTTCGCGTCTTCTTAGAAGGTACGACGCCATTGCAAGCAAGACATATCAAAATATGACTTTTTAAAAAGCCAAATATTCTCTAGGTAGATCAAAGACCTGGTCAGATTTGCTAGTTATTACTGAAATAACACGATTTTTTTTTAATCACCAAGGAGTTTCAATGTATTCCCGGACTTTTCTGTTAGTACAAAGTCTGCGTTTTATATTGTTAATAAATCGATGCTTCGGTTTGTATTCTTTAGTGTGCGTTTGTTATTCGAAGTTACCTTTTTAATGATACAATTTTACTTTGGGTAAGCGTAGCCTTTCAGGAACTTGACAGGCAGAATGTATTGGAAACTCTGCTCATCAAAAGGAGGTGGCGGAGTAGGGTGGACGCGACATTAATTATAGGCTCATGTTTATGTATTAGTGTTAAATGTTAATATTTTACTTTATCGTATTTGCATAATTCAAGTTTGTTTTATTCCAACTTGTCTTCCCTTTGTTGCTCTTTCTAATTTTTATAGTGAATTTTTCTATTTGAATCGGTTTTTTTTAATGTTTATTTTTTTTAGATTTGTCTTTGATATCTACGACCTATTAGTACCAACGTCCTTCAACTTTGTAGACGCAGAACTCAATCTACCTGAAAGTTCACATACACACACACACTCACGTTACCTGTCCGGCTGACTTCAATGTCACTTCATTGTGAATAGACCTTGTTTTTAATGATTTAACTGTTAGAATTTAGCTCTTGTAAAAGAGAGTAATCCTTGAAGGATTACTGGCACGACATGGCCTAAATTGTGCCGATGTGCCAAAAACTCAATCACTCAATGTGACAATATACTTACTTTTGTTCTTGCTATTGCAAAGTATAATAGTTTGTTGTTGTTTGTTTTTGTTTTGGGTCCAGGACATTATTTGTGTTCAAACTCATAGATCTTTTCTTTCACACTTTTTCCGGTTTTAAAAGGTTGAAAATATTAAAAGTAAACCAAAAAATATTACAAAATCCTATTTGTATACTAGCATTTGTTTTTGTTAAAAGATAGCAGGGTCTTTCACTTAAAGTATGTTAACAGATTCTAGTTTAATTCACAACATTTACTATTTATATCACATGCCAACTCTATTTTGTGTTTATTATTTATATAAACGTAAGTTTTCCCTTTCAGACTTTGCCATTTATGGGGCAGATGATGAAAAGGTCATTTGTTTGAGTTAACGAGGGTGTCATGTGGCCAGCACAACGACCAACCGCCTTCACTTCTCCACAAAATTGTCAGGTATTCATTAGAGCTGGGTGGACTCAGCGGGGCCTTAAAGATACCGAAATAAAAAAATAATCCACGATTTGAATCGACGGACCCATCGATTAGGAAGCCAAACACTTTACCACTCATATACCGCGGCTCCATCTTATTATTAGCTATCTTAATTCTATTCCATTTATATCAAACAAATCAAACAATGTTTCTGGATAATTCAAAAGTTTAATACACTCATTGTAAAATATATATATATATATATAAATAAAACAAAGTAATAGTTAGTTAAAAATATGTTATTATTATTATTAGTTATGCATTACCACCGTTCTTAACTGTGTTTAAAGAAAGGCTTATACAAGACATTAAATAATATTATAAGTTATTAGGAAAGTTGGCTTTCGTAAGTTGGGTCCAGATGTCATTTGACCAGTACCGATGTCATGTGACCACTCAGTAGCCTGTATTAGGCTCACATGTTCTGGCACAAGCGTGCTGGCTCTGGAAGATGTTTCTCTGGGGTGTGTAGCTGTCCACACATCTACTCAAGACGCTGACCTTCTTGCAGGAGTTTGACCTGTGGTCATATGTCCAGGCGTACACATTGTAGGTGGCGTCGTAACTGTTGGCGATGCAGGAAGCGTCGATGTAGCCACAGTTGTCTGGACAAAATGAGATTTAGATAATATTCAACATTATGGAAAATATCTTATAAATTAAAGACGTTCCTTCTTTAGAGAAGATAATTACGTCGTCACGTAATGTGTCAGTCTAGTCATGCATGTTAATTAGGCACTTAAACTTTGCTTAGTCATAGGTTTTTCCTGATTCAAGCAACCCGTTCCATACTCTAATAGCACCAGAGAATAAGAAGCACCTGAACGAATTTGTTCTAGCATATGTGATAAGGAATATATTTTAGTTTTGTTTCATCAACTATAAAACCGAACATCTTCCTTTGTCCTGATTTTAGTCAAAATTCTCAAATCGTTTCCAAATCCCAGATTCTCCTAAGAAAAGAAGCCGCAGTTAGCTAGCAGACAGACCACACCGTTAAGCCAATATTTCACTGGTGTGTTTTATCAAAGTATTTGTACTTACGATGGCCTGGGAAGTTGTACTGATTGCAGTTGCAGTCTGCAACTTGGTAACCTCTGGAGTCTCGTTTGTAGGCGTCGTTGCATCTGCCGTAGCAGTAGGTGTGGTCTCTGGATACATAAGACAAAGTTACATTTAGTTTCGTATTTTATCTTCCAAATACAATGAATATTAAAGAGAATAATAATAACAATCTTTATTATCCAAGAGGGTATTTGCCTTACAATTTGTACATTAACAAAACAAAATACATTTTAACTATAGTAACAAAATATACGTTCACTTTAGTCTCACTCAAATATTACATGTGAAATGTTGACATCAGATAGATACATTCTATTTAATCAGTTGATGGCCAGGGGAATAAAGAAGTTTTTGTGTCTGCTTTTGTAAACCTTATCTCGTATCTAAAAATGGCCAGCACCTCTACCAACAAAGCGAAAGCCACCTTGACCTGTATTATATGTGGACGGGAGTGTCTGCAAAATAGGGCTCAACAGTCATGTGAAAAAGTGTTCGAGATGAACCAAAGTATATATATATATATATATATATATATATATATATAGCTCGTATCTTCTATGTGAGGATAAAATTTAGAAATTCTGGCCAAGAGGATGCTACTTTAAATGTACCCGTCTTTAGACTTTTCTACATGGAACAGAACCAGGGTACAGATGGAGAGACAGACAGAAACAGTGATGAGAGAACAGTATTAAGGAATAGAAGGATATGTCTATGAAAGAGATTCTAATGCTGGCAAAAGACAGAGAGGAATGAAGAAAGACGGTCGACAGATCATGTGTGGTGCCACTACGGTCTATCAGACTAAGGGAGAGGGGAAGCTGAAGGTGATTATGAGCAGTAAGTAAAAATACACCCCAAACATATTGGATCAATCAACTCAGGATTCCTTAAAGCCCCTAAATGTGAAATCAGACACAGAAATCAAGCAGAAAAACTCACCTTGGGTTTCCACGTCCGTCATCACCGCGACCCTGAAAAAAAAAGCTATTTAAATCTGAAAGTATAAGGAGATAGCTTGTTACAAGAACATTATAGCTTGCAAAGACCTTCCTACAGGGAACAGTACAGTGCGAGCCATGTTTTAGGTATTCCTTATGGGTCTTACATAGAGTCTAGATCTATAGCACTAAATGTAAGGTTTTAGTCATTGACAAGTTCTTACCCTTTGTTGAAATGATGGTGCGACTGAAAGAAAAGAAAATATTTGTGAACAATTACAACAAAATTGAAGCTAAAAATATGATCACAACACTATTTATAATACATAAACATGAGGCAAATGTACAAGTAAATATAAGTAAATACATGTATAGATATTTTTGTTAAATACAGTTCAACTTACCCAACACTAAAAGAAAAGCCAGACATGCCAAACAGTTCATTTTGATCTGATCAAGAAGAAAATATTTGTAAGCTGAGTAAATCAAACAAAAGTCTAAATAGTTAAAGTTCAAATGATTAAAAAAAAAAGATACACACTTTTGCTTGAAAATAAATAGAACTAGAATTCAACCTAAATACTGCATTACGGTGTACATAGAAGGATTTCAACTTAAAATAAGATAAGATAATTTTATTGATCCAATCAAATGGAAATTTAGTTTGACTACAATTGACAACATCAGCGTAACTAATGTACAATAGCAGTATAGATGAAAAATTCGAGCATCATTCACACACGAAACACATACACATTCACAACCAGCGCTTTATGAGTTTGACTTCTATGTACTTCTCGATGATGACAGCTGATTTTGTAACACTCTGACCAAAAGTGGGATAAAGAAGTTTTTAAATCTTTCTGTTTTAGTCCTAATGGAAAGGAGACGATCACTTCGTTCAGATCTTATGTAACAGTGGTTTAATGGGGGCAGGTTGTCTTTAAGAATCGAGAATTTCGAGGATATTTAGCTAAAACTTGAGCTAAACACAGAAAAACTTTTGTCACAACGATTATTGCTATCTCTCTATCAGCTTTGTCTGCCTCAATGTGACAGAATATATAGGTCATAGGTGGCTCTACGTAGCTATACAATTTAAAATGTAGCACCTTTCCTTATTTAGACTCAACAACGTCTTGCAATAGTCCAGCCGAGACCATTCCTTATAGAAGGCCAGAACACTGACCTGCAACGTCACAACCTGTGGGCAGTTTCCACGTCACAGGTCTGTACGACGTGGCAACGAGCTATTGTTCTTAACTGCCCACAGGTTGTAATGTTAAAGGGCAGTGTTCAGGCCTTCTATATAGAATGACCTCAGTCCAGCCCAATATCTTGATGAAATATCACAACTAAATCAACAGCTAAGAAAAATTCATTCTGACACTCAAAAGCATGTGCATTTCAGAGCAAGTAGAACCAAAGACAAGATGTGCTCGCTTGGGCATTCTGTAACTATTTCGTATGCAAATACTCGTACAAGGGAACTGAACCTAAGCTTATTTAGTTTGTGTTCATGATACAGTTCTAGATTTCTTTGGAATTGTCTTAAATAAATAAAATAAATAAATACATTTTAAACAAGCCTACATAGTTTATGACTTCAATTAATAAAAAATTTCAATAGATCGATATATATATATATATATATATATATATATATATATATATATATATATATATCCTGTTATATTGTTTAAGTTGTCTGTTTTTGTTATCCATAACTAATCTTAATTTGAAAATTTAAATCATTGAGTGAGAATGATTCAGTATTACATGTCAACACAATATAAAATGTTAGACCTGAATTACAAGTACAACTAAATCTTATACTGACCTGGAAGTGGAGTTTGTTCTAGTAACTGAAAGTTCTATGTCTACTGGACGAGCGAGTGTGTCCTTCGTTGGACATTTGTCTCACTTTTATAGACCCACCAGATCATCGTCAACACCCTCATCATCCACAACATTAGTCCGATGAATCACGTCCTCAAAAATGTTCTTAATGACCAGGAAGCACCTGATCCAGAAATTTAAAAAAACAAACAACAACGCTGGGGTCTAGAATGACTTGTGAAAGATGAAGACGGATTTAAAGAGATGACAGCGTTTCTTGAACAAGTAGCAAATACGATTGCATGACACGTGACATCAGTTACACAACGCTGGGGCAAAGGATGGGCCTTTAACGTCTGCACTAACTATAGCAAGGTCAAATGTCATGAAGTGAGAACGAGGCCTAAAAACTATTGCGCACTTTAAAGTTCTACTTTCTTAAAAAAAAAAAATGTTAAGATTAATGTTTAAGTCGGAAAGATACATACTAAAAAGCTGTATGCGCAACTGGGTCAGGCCTATGACCTTTTAAGACAGCATTAAAAATCTAATATGTTTTTACAAATAAAATAACAAGGCATTGGGCATGTGTATCTGTATCTTCTTTTTTTGAAGTTACGTCTGTATTTTATAAGATAAGATAAGATCGAGTTCTTTTTTTTTTATTGTCCTTATTATTTATTATTTCTAGTGTTGTCAATTCATAATCCCTAGTTTATTCATTAAGAGCAAGATTGTTTCTTAAATGAGTTGTCTAGGATAGAAAAAGAACCTATACAAATTGCCCTTGCATATTTGATAAGAAATGTGCATTTCTCTTTGTAACTTTCTGCGTATATTTTTATGTCTTTCAGTTATAATTATTCTATTTTATAAATTACAGACGTTACTTCAAGAAAAAAGATAATAAAGTTCTACTCGTATACATGTGTTTATCTATTCGCATGCAAAGTAGGTACTAAATTTTTGGCTTCCCTGACTGATTCATGCAATCCATTTCATGCTCTCATTGGCCCTTGGAAAGAAGGAGCACTTGTTCGAATTTGTCCTATCACATGGAATAAGAAATGTGTCTTTTTGTCTGTGTCATTCTGAGTAGACACAAAGATAAAAGCACATTCCTTGTTTCACAAACTAGGACAAAGTTGTACAAATGCTCCTTCTTTCCTAGTGCTATTAGAGCATGGAATGGGTTGCCTGAGCCAGCCAGAAAAACTAGTGACTTGACAGAATTCAAGAAAATGGTTAACATGCATGACTAAATTCAATGGGGTAGGACGTAATCATCTTCTTTCTTTTTGAAGTAACGTCTGTATTTTTTATGAGATTTTATTGGGTTTTGTTTTTCGATATTTTAAGTTATGGTGCACAGTATTCTGTTTTACTGCTACTTAAGTTTTAGTCTTCTGTCCTGAAGTGTCTCTAAATATAATAATTTTACTAACGGTTTTTCTCTTGTCAAACGTGAATACGATTTTGCTATAAATCTCACGGCTCTGTTCTAGTTTCTGTATAAGGGTTTAGACCTACAATAAAGACATCCACTTAAACTAGGACTAAGGTATTCACTGTCTCCGCTATTCTTACACCATTTGCTTGAGCAGTGGGACAGCCATTTTCTATAACAGCATGAAGTTTTCAAATCAGAATAGTAGTGCCACGTCTTACAACATCATATGGCATGCGCTCTGGACAGTCGTCTCGACGGTCGCGGGTTCGAACCTTGTCCGCCGCTATCTCCACGCCGTCCTCCTGTAGACATGGGTTAGAATGTAATAATCTTCTGAAGGAACATGTAAAACAAGTTTCATTGGAAGCAAAAACAGAAACAATTTAACACAGTTCGGAAGCTAAAGCTGCAGTAATTGTAACATTTGCCCATAACTAAAGCTGCAGTAATTGTAACATTTGCCCATAGCTAAGGCTGCAGTAATTGTAACTTTAGCCAATAACCAGACCTGTACATTGAGGCCTTTTTGTTAAATATAACAAGATTGAAATTTGAAAATGTTGAATAGAAACTAATGTGTAGGCCTGTACGCTCTGGTTCACTTTACGTCCAAATTATTTCAACATAAATGTTTCTTAATGTGTTTGTATTGACATGTGTCGGATGTTCCTTCAGATTTAAAGATTATTACTTCCTAACCAAAACCTTCGGTAAGTTGACCTGTCATTTTCAATTAAGGTGACTGTTCATTTTATCCCCGGTCACTTCATATTTAGGAGAGTTTTAGTTATGGAGCACAGTACCCTGTGTCACTTTATCTAGTTCTAGTTAAGTATATGGACTATCTTTTAGTTGTACATTTGGTCGTTAATGAATACACATACACATATACATACACATATACATACACATATACATACACATATACATACACATATACATACACATATACATACACATATACATACACATATACATACACATATGCATACACATATGCATACACATATGCATACACATATGCATACACATATGCATACACATATGCATACACATATGCATACACATATGCATACACATATACATACACATATACATACACATATACATACACATATACATACACATATACATACACATATACATACACATATACATACACATATACATACACATATACATACACATATACATACATATATACATACCCCAACAACATGGTTTATTTGTTGTGTGAAAACGAAAGGGGAGGTAAAAGACTTATCTCCTCGTCATTAGTCTTGTCATAGAAGAAGAAAACAGTTTTGTGCACAACAAAATCATCCCTGACCTATATACTTATCACCCTGTTTATCCCCCCTCTTTGTTTCTATTGTATGAGAAGATCCGCATTTTTTTGTTTCAGATGAGACTTTGTGAATACAAGAAAAACATTTGAAATAAAATATTTAAAAAGCCAAAAAAATTAAACGTCAACGAAGTGTATCAGTTAGTTTGGATCAGCCATGTCATGAAACCAAGACTAATAACAATCTGTGCAATTAGAAATATTTTAACCAATTCTTTTTGTTTAGCGCTACTACATGCCTTTAGCTTTCTCGGTACGCTATGGTCCTGTCACTTATATGGGCCAGTTGGGAAGTTGGGGGTGAGGAAGACAGAAGTGTAAATTTCACCCTAATCGTTTTATAAAAACATTTACAAAAAAAAGGGGGTGAACCACCTAACTTCGAACTTACGGCTCCCGCCTACTCAAGCCGACATACCAACCACCCTGCTAGTGACTACAGGAGATTGTATGGTTATATATTATTTATTTTTTTCAAATTTACTTTAAAGCAGCCACCTAAAAAGGGGACTAATTCAGCTCACACCACCACTTCAGTCAAGTAGAATTTCTTTCTTTTTTTCGAGATACCAAACAAAATAAATAATTACCAATAGCTAATTAACCAATTGACTCATTTTTCACTTATTATGTTTTGTCAGGTAAAAGAAATAATTGTGCAAACTTTCAGCTTGATCCGAGATTGGGTACAAACTTTTTACCAGACAGAGTGAGTTGATATAAGCTTTGTACCAGACAGACAGAGTGAGTTGATATAAGCTTTATAAAAAAAAACAGGAGAAAGGTCAAGAACTAATTTAATAACCTTAGCATTGAACATCTAATAGCCTTTTTTTTAGTTTCTAAGCATTCGACTTCTAAACACATATCTGTACCACCCCTTGATGCGTGGAACAGGAATGAGGATGCCTTCGCAGCTCTCTGGTACTAGTCCTGATGGTGTGGTCGGTATAGACCACATCCACATCCACACTGAACACCACGACAATTGGTTCACAGACAACTGGTTAACCGACACTGATAAATATTTCACGACAAAACGGTTCACACGACAAATGGCTCACAGACAATTGATAAACAGAGAATTGGTCTGAAAGGGAAACTTTACTAGAGCTAAAGAGTCCATGACTCAACTCTGACCACATTTACAAAGTTGGTGAGTTCGAACAGAAATGAAATGGTGATTGATCTGTTATGGGTTATGATCGATCTGATGAGGTTGTGATCGATCTTTTTAAAGTTTGTTATTCCAAACCTTTTTTTTTTTTTTTTTTAAATTCATTGAATTGAAAAAAGTTCTCCTTTCAGACCTTGCGATTTATGGCCCACAGGCCGTCAAAGGAAAGTGGCGACTGAACGTCGACTGCCATTTTTGAGACATATCACTAGACAAGACGAAACACGTTTACCAAATTCAGCCTTAATATGAAAGCCTAAAAAAGGAACGTAAAAACATGACGTCATACCTTTTTAGAAGCCCTGAATTCCGTGGGCACCAGCTGGGAAGTTGCTTTTAAAATTCGCCTTCGACTCATTTCTGCGTATAGAGCTCGCAGCCCTATGCGTCGAATGACGCGCGATGGGCTTAAGTCTATGTGTTTCTGAACATTTTACAATAAAAAATGCTACGTTAGCCATCTGATTAGATTATTAAAGTGTCTTAATCTGACTCAGAGTTTTCCGGGGCGAAGCCCCGGCCACCAAGCATTTTTCTACATTACTAAGCTTCAGAAACTCTTTTCCTGGCGTCTACAAGGAATTATTTTTCTCAAATTCGAGGTATTAATTTTTAGATTTTAAAAGTTGCATTTTACCCACTTGGGTGTCACCCCCTGGTGGGTGTCACCCGGTGCGGACCGCATCCCCTGTACCCCCTAGTGACGCCTAGGCCTTACTTTTAAAAAGACGGCTCCTGCTTTCCAATCCGACTTGCAACGCCATGATTTGAATTTTCATCGCTTGAGATAACATCTCCTATGTAGGCTAGGTTAACTTTTCTATTTGTTCAAGATCTGTATGACCAATGCTAATGGGTGTATTGGGTAACCTGCACCCAATATGCATAACTTTGAGGGCGTCGTTATCCGTCATCTCGAGTATACATTTAATCGTATTTCAAAGTATTGTTATGTCGTCTGCAAAATCCAACTCGGTTGGAACTAGAATGCAGCCTGTTTAATGTATTTTGATGACATCGTCAATGGCTACATGAAAATGATATGGGGAT